TTGTCAACAGAATCAGCCATTATTCCTGAAGTACTAGGAATAGACTCATCAGTAATAACATCTGAACATTCTACATCAGACCATTTAAATACTGAAGGCACAGCAACACTACTCAACCTACAATTAATAAAATCTGTTTTCAGAAAGTGCTCTGAACATAATTTAAATTTTTTATAGCAAACGGATGGACCCTCATTTAATAGATCAGGACGGCGGCAGATTTTAACCCACTTATAAAATCTAAAACATTATAAAATTATATGTTACAACATTGTTAGATTAATACATTATGAATATTTAATTAATTAAATTTACCTTTCGCTATCCTTTGGAAATCTATGAAATGTAACACTTGACAATGGTCCATACTTATTTGAACACACTAGACACTTTATAACCATTTTAAAAGTGAAAATGTAAACAAAAATCGTATTTTCTAATAATTGTTGAATAAAAAACTGGGGACCAGTGTAAGCAAAATTTGCAAAAGTAAACGATAGCACACAAAACGTGGTTACGGCCTACGGGAAACAAGCCAACCCCGCACAGCATACCCCGCCTATGTGGCGGAAACGTTTTGATAATACGGGTGACTTTGGGTCTAACATCATGTTGATAAGGGAAACGTTTCCATGTTTTTCGGAGGTTCAGACTTCAGATTATAGGGAAACAAAACTCCCATCAGCTGATCGAGTTTCGCTTCTATATTGTTCTATGATAATAGTCCGGTATAACAATAAAATGGACAACAAGATGAACTTTTTACATAGAACCTTTTTAATAAGAAATTTAATTGTACATAATTTTTATAGAAACATTTTTTTTATAATTTCATTCGTTCAACAAGTATATTAAAATAACTACAAATTACCAATTTGGTAAAAAAAATTTAAAAAGTTGTACTTTATTATTTTTCTTTGAAAATAATAGACTTACAAAATATAATATACTTATACTTTTTATTGAAAACTGTACGTTCTACAATTTAAGTTCTATAAATTTTTTCGCTAAGTATCATATTTATTTAGTTAGGTCGACAAAATGATAAAACTACCCTTGTCGGCTATTTTTCAACCCCCCAGGGGCATAGGAAAGGAGTGAGTAGTCACGACCAAAATTAACCAAAATTATTTTCTTATAATAATGAAAAAAATGAGGGGGTCCTACATTAAAAATATAAATATTTTTTTCTTACCTCTATAAATAAGGACCACCCTAATGTATACCTAACCATAATTATCGATTTCGTACTTTCTGAATTCTTATTTGTGTAACGGACAAGTCATGTTGACGACCAAAACTACTCTTCGGCCTGCAATTTTGAGTATATTTTCGATTTTGAAAACGAATCTTTTTGGTAACTCTGTATGTGCGTGCTTGTGAACCCCGAACGCACGGGACGTTTAAATGTTAAAATGAAAGGTTTATGAAAATAAATTAATCGAGAAAACCAACAAAAAAAAGTACCGATTAACAAGAATTCATACACAGTACCGGTATCTATACATTTGTTTGAATTCAAATATAAATAAATTTAGGTACTTGAGTGTAGCTTACATCGATAAAGTGATTTGACGTTTTCCTATTTTGCTTGAAACATCGACATTGGTTTTTTTTTCAATTGTGAGCCTGAAGTACAAAATGGAATACTGGTCCGCTTTTTTACCAAAAACTTGTCGAAAAAAATATTTTTCTACATTTCTAATTCAGACATTTCATCCGTTTCTTGATATCTAGTAGACGTACAATTAGAACTATGAATGATTATAATCATAATATAGACATATGAAATAATCGATTTTTGTAATTTTTTTGTTTGTTAATGAATGTAGACAGAATATATTTCGTTCGGATCAAAAACCTTAACATGTAACACAAGATCATAGGTTGTTAGTCAAAAATAAAATGTACACGTAAATCCACAGTAAATTTTTATGAGCGTCCGAAGTTCGTGTTTTGACAAATGTTTGAATCAATAGATGTTTTATTTACTTCACAACAATCTTACGGCAGAACAACTCTTGCTTTAAATTCGATAAAACTATTAATGTATGTATAGAAAAACAACTACCAGTATATCATCAGGACTCAGGGTCACTGGTCAGTCATCGATTAGAGTCGGGACCCAGACAAAAGGTTTAAAACCGAGGCAGGAAAAAAAGGTTCTCAAATATCGCGAATCTTA